TGCTTGCGCTTGAGCTCAGGGAACATATCACCCAATTGATCCACAACGGTCGGGACCAATTTGGCAAAGAAGTTTCCAATATCAACCTGGAAGTACTTGCGGGCATACCGAGCGCCCCGACGCAGTACACGACGAATAACATATCCACGGCCCTCGTTGTTGGGGATAACACCATCCGAGATAGCAAACATCAAGGTTCGCACGTGGTCTGCAACAACACGGTAGGCAGTGTCAATACCGTCAGCGTCGTCAGCACCAAAGTTGCCGCGGTATTCGCGGGCCCCGGTGACAGTTTGAATAGCCTGGAAGATAGGAGTAAAAACGTCTGTATCATAGTTGGAAGATTTGTCCTGGAGTATAGACACCAGTCTCTCGAAACCCATTCCAGTGTCAACATGTTTGTTGGGAAGAGATCGCAGGGAGCTATCAGGCTCGCGGTTGTACTGGATAAAAACGTTGTTCCAGATCTCGAGCACATTCGGATCGTCTTGGTTGACAAGGTGGGCAGCATTACGCCCGCCGATCCGATCGTAATGGACTTCACTGCAAGGTCCACAAGGGCCTTGGTCACCCATTTCCCAGAAGTTGTCTTTCATATCGCCGGGAAGAATGTGGGATTCGGGAACACCGACGGATTTCCACAACTCCTTGGCCTCCAGGTCCGGTTCCAACCCACCCGCTTCGTTGCCCTCGAAGTAAGTGACATAGAGACGATCGGGGTTCAGTCCATAGACTTTTGTCAGAAGAGTCCAGGAGTATGTGATTGCTTCTTTCTTGAAGTAATCGCCGAAACTCCAGTTGCCGAGCATTTCAAAGAAGGTCTAGAGCGTTGAGTCAGTGTTCCTTTGCGTAGATATGGTATTCTGGAAGCTCACATGATGATAGCTGTCCTTGCCCACATCATCCAGATCCTGCACAAGACTAGTCAGTATACTGACGCCCCTCTATGAATTGATCCAGGGACAAACGAACATTATGTTTACCACCAGCACGAAGACACTAATTATCAAGATCAGCAATAGCCCTCCATTTTGGGATTTCAGTTCCTCGGCAAAGCTTCAATACCTTTTGCGAGTTTGCGGCGCGCTTCAGCTTTCCAAAGTCCGACGATGGGTCAACGGTACCCAGGAAGATGGACTTGAACTGGTTCATGCCCGCATTTGTAAACAGGAGAGTCGGATCCGAGAGAGGAGCGACGGGGGACGAAGGTACTATGTGCCATTCCAGTCAGTCTATGTGGCGGGGTGGAGGGGTATGAGAAAAAAGAATCGCGGGCGGCTCCTACCAAAGGTATGACCATTTTGCTTGAAATAATCCAAGAAGGTTTCTCGGACTCGCAGAGCGGTCCATTCAGAACCAACGGAAGTCATTTTGACTGTAGGGGGGTTGGTTGACAAGGAGCGAACAAAACGAGGGTAGAAGGTTCTGGGGTGGTTTCGAAAGAGATGAGTCAAAGCCTCCCCGTTCCTCACCATCCCAGAAACCCGCATTGAGCGAGATCCTTCAAGAATGACCCCCGGACCTGTGTACTGTGTACTGTGTACGCCTTAGATCCGAGGAAGTTGAATTCTCTCCTTTTTCCTGGATGGAGGAAATCCAAGGCCACGGGAAGAAGCGCCCGGCCCAAGGTGATCCCGATGGCGCGCAACCCTTAACAAAGAGATTCGGATGCTTGCGAATAGGTGAGTTTGAGAAACAATTTCCAAGGGGTCAAAGTTGACGCATTCCTAGATAGCGTGCCAATCTCCGCTCGGGCCAAAGGGGAAGAAGGGAAGGAAGATATGATGCTGTTGGATGACACTCAACATACGACCTACATCCACAACCTGGATCAAGAACTCGAAGGTGATTCCCCCGATGGGCTTATATTCTCGCCCCTTGCTACAAAGTTGCTTTCGGTGCCTGCCTCGGTTTTATCTTCCCAGCAGTCGGGAAAAGAACTGGTTCTCTACACAGAACCGGCTTCCCTTACAGTGCCCAAGGACAAGGACAATATACGAAAAGCGATACTGGAATCCCGGAAACGAGCGAGAGCGGAGAGTGCGAATGCGAGTGCGAGTCAGAGTCAGAGTCCGAATCAGAAGGGCGAAGACGACTTGAATGATATAAGTGATCCTATGGATATTGATGAAATTTAGCGGGTAGCATGGAGGAGGTGTACATATACATGATACATTGAAACATTAATTTAATATATACATTTCTACAGTTAATACAGTTTCCATATTTCCAGATAGTACTCCGTAACTCCCTCCGTTCGTAGAAGTATATAGCCCTCGCACGTGATTCACCGCTCCCGAAAAATTTTCTGGGTTTTTGTGGCTCCGATTAAATATGCACTCGGGTTGATAAAAAATTTCCTCTTTCCCCCACCATCCCTCTCTTTCCCATTCCTCCCAATTACTATTCCCCTATCTCATAATGGCCGACATTGAGGTCTTCGACGGTGCCGTCGGTATCGATTTGGGTGAGTTTTTTTTCTCAAATATGTGGACGCACAACTAATGCTTCTTTTTTCAAGGTACCACCTACTCTTGCGTTGCCAACTACGAGGGTACCAATGTCGAGATCAGTACGTTTTTTCTCCATCGAAATTTTCTGCATAAACTGACCGTATGATCAGTTGCCAACGACCAGGGTAGCTACACTACCCCCTCCTTCGTCTCTTTCACCGACAAGGAGCGTCTGATTGGTGATGCCGCCAAGAACCAGGCCGCCATGAACCCGGCCAACACCATCTTCGATATCAAGTGAGTTCTTGAAATTTTGCGCATGTTTTCGATTCATGCGCGTTCCAAGCAATTTCTTTGCTGGGTTTTGGTCTGACTCGGAACAGGCGTTTGATCGGTCGCCGCTTCGAGGACCCCATCGTCAAGAAGGATGTTGAGTCCTGGCCCTTCAAGGTCATTGACCAGGGTGGCAACCCCGTTGTCCAGGTCGAGTACCTCAGCGAGACCAAGACCTTCTCCCCCCAGGAGATCTCCTCCATGGTCCTCATGAAGGTAAGGCGAAACATCCAATATATATACAAGAAATAATCTGCTGATGCACTGAAACAGATGAAGGAGGTTGCCGAGGTCAAGCTCGGCAAGAAGGTCGAGAAGGCCGTTATTACCGTGCCTGCTTACTTCAACGACAACCAGCGTCAGGCCACCAAGGATGCTGGTGCCATCGCTGGTCTCAACGTTCTCCGTATTATCAACGAGCCTACCGCTGCCGCTATCGCCTACGGTCTCGGTTCTGGCAAGTCTGACAAGGAGCGCAACGTCCTCATCTACGATCTGGGTGGTGGTACCTTCGATGTGTCCCTGCTGAACATCCAGGGTGGTGTCTTCACTGTGAAGGCCACCGCTGGTGACACTCACCTTGGTGGTCAGGATTTCGACACCAACCTCCTTGAGCACTTCAAGAAGGAGTTCCAGAAGAAGACCGGCAAGGACCTCTCCGGTGATGCCCGTGCTCTCCGTCGTCTGCGCACTGCTTGCGAGCGTGCTAAGCGTACTCTGTCCAACGCCACCCAGACCACCGTTGAGATTGACTCTCTCTTCGACGGTGAGGACCTCAACTCCTCCATCACCCGTGCCCGTTTCGAGGACCTTAACGCCAAGGCCTTCTCTGGCACCCTGGACCCCGTCCAGCAGGTCCTCAAGGACTCTGGTATCCCCAAGAGCAAGGTCGATGAGATCGTCCTTGTCGGTGGTTCCACCCGTATTCCCCGCATCCAGAAGCTCCTGAGCGACTTCTTCGACGGCAAGAAGCTCGAGAAGGTAAGATCATACACCAAAATCAGGCAATTTACATCCACTTACATGTCTTGTATAGAGCATCAACCCCGATGAGGCTGTTGCCTACGGTGCCGCCGTCCAGGCCGGTATCCTTTCCGGCAAGGCCACCTCCGCCGAGACCCAGGACCTCCTCCTTCTGGACGTTGTTCCCCTCTCTCTCGGTGTCGCTATGGAGGGCAACATCTTCGCCCCCGTCGTTAACCGCGGCCAGACTGTCCCCACTATTAAGAAGCGTACCTTCACCACTGTTGTCGACAACCAGCAGACCGTTCAGTTCCCCGTCTACCAGGGTGAGCGTACCAACTGCGCTGACAACACCTCCCTGGGCGAGTTCACTCTCGCTCCTCTTCCTCCCATGCGCGCCGGTGAGGCCGCTCTCGAGTGTGTCTTCGAGGTTGACGTCAACGGTATCCTGAAGGTCACCGCCACCGAGAAGACCTCCGGCCGCACGGCCAACATCACCATCTCGAACGCTGTCGGCAAGCTCTCCAGCGCTGAGATCGACCAGATGGTTGACGGTATGTTTTTCCTTCCACCCCCAGTTAATTTTCAATCCAATACTGACTAACGTCATGTAGATGCTGCCAAGTTCAAGACCAGCGACGAGGCTTTCACCAAGAAGTTCGAGTCTCGCCAGCAGCTCGAGTCTTACATCTCTCGTGTTGAAGAGATCGTCTCCGACCCTGGCATGTCCATGAAGCTCAAGCGTGGCAACAAGGAGCGCATTGAGTCCGCTCTCAGCGATGCCATGGCCCAGCTCGAGGTTGAGGACTCGACTCCCGAGGATCTCAAGAAGAAGGAGCTCGCCCTCAAGCGCCTGATTACCAAGGCCATGGCCACACGGTAAATGCATCCATGATATACATGGGAAGACATGAACATAGACTTACGGCCAACGAATTTTTCTCTTTCCCGGGACCCTACTTCTCAGGGAATCTGCACCATCTAGACCTTGGGCAGAGTTGGTCTCTGTCATGCTTTGTTTAAGCCGGGCAACTTGGGCGCAGTTTTCTTTTCTTGAAAAGTATGATTTGTTTTGCTTTTTTTTTGTAGACGAAGTTCGCCATTTGCAATTTAATGACATTGTGATGATTTCTGCTTTCCTCTGTAATTGTAGAGAGCTGTGCGTTTCGGGCCAAGGCGGGGATGGTGGAAATGCGACTGCAAAACTTCTTGCTTCCGCTCTCCAACTTTTTTACACCAATTGCTTCCGCCATGCAACGTATCATTTCCCAATCATTCCGCTCTTTCTGTCCTCGCCTTGCGGTCACGCGCCCTTTAAACCCTCGGTCATGTCTCTTGCCTCGGGCTCAGTGCTTAGTTCCTCTGAACAGACGTAACTTTGCCAACTCCCCTGCCCTATACAAAAAGAAGGACAAGGCCAAACAGAGTTCTGCTCCTGAGCCAAAAGAAAGCTCTAGCTCTGCTGAAGATCCCTTTGATCTCTCTCAACTGCACAACGGCATTTCCACGACTGTCGCTCGGCTCAAAGATGATTTGTCCAAGCTTCGCGCGGGAGGACGGTTCAATACCGCTCTCCTGGAGAATTTGAAGGTCCAGCTGAGCAAGGAGTCTAAGGAGTCAGTCAAACTCGGAGATCTGGCTCAGGTTGTACCCAAGGGAGGACGGATGGTCACTCTCTTGGCCGCAGAAGAGGATGTGAGTTTGACAACCGACGTGCGCTTCCGAATCAGAGCAATTCTAATATCTTGCGCAGCATATCAAACCTCTTATTTCGGCTATCATATCCTCGAACCTATCCTTGACTCCGCAACCCGATGCCCACAATGCCCTCCAACTCAACATTCCCATTCCACCGCCCACAAAGGAGTCCCGGGATAAGAACATTCAAACTGCTAAGCAAGCATTTGACAGGGCCTCTAGCTCAGTACGCGATTCCAGAGGCGCGATGCACAAACGTCTCCAGGACTTGCAGAAAAAGAAACTAGCTCGACCAGATGATGTGCGCAAAGCCCATGATCAGATGGAGAAGGTCACAGACCAAGGTCAAAGAGATCTCAAGGATGCATTTGAAGCGGCCAAAAAGACCCTGGAGCAGGCATAAAATATTATCGGCCACAGCCCAGGAACACCGTGCTTGTAAAATAATGACTTTGTAACTTAAGTACAGGCATAATCGGGAAAGATAAGGGAGAAAAATGAGAAATGAACCGAAACAAAACTATATAATACAAGTCACATGCACCACTGGTCGTCGTCCTCGCACAGTATCAGGCACGCTTGGTGCTGCCAGAGACAAGTGATTCGAGCTTGGTCATGAATTGGGAGGTTTTCCCAGTTGTTTGGTATGTCCCATTGTTCATGAGATTTCTTGTCACCTCGCCCAATACGGCTGGCCCCTCCTTCTTGGCCTCGGCCGTTGGATATTTGCCCTGCGCGAGCGTCTCCATGAGAGTTTTGGTGCTCTCCGCATTGATGGGGTTGAATTCAACAGTGCGAGGCTGCACAAGGTCACCCTTGCGCTGCGAAATCTGGTCTGCACGAAGCTGGGCCAACCGCTTAGTCTCCTCCAAAGCCTCAGACTTCTCGGCCTCACTGCTGAAAAGAACGCTTTGACCCTTCCAGAGGCGTCTTCCAAGCTCATGAGGCGGGACGTAGCCATTGGCAAAGCGACCGCTTAGGCTGACAAGCTTCTCGTAAACGGCAGCGGAGCGCGAGTTCGCATCTGTGGGAATCGAAGGCCAAGTCTCTCTCAATGTAGAGTAGGTGATTTCCTGAGGCTCATAGCGAATAGGAACGGGCCGGTCTTTCAAGATTTGCTCTTGCTCAACGGCCTCAATAGCCGCCGCTTCGGCCTCTTCGCCCTCGGCGTTTTCAAATGAAGTTGCGTTTCGGCGCTGGTCCTTTCGTGGACCCTTGCCCTTAGCGGAGGGTTTGGATTTGCGATTTTGGCCTTGGTTGCCGCCGCGAGCGGTGCGCAATCTCGGGCTGCGAATGATCTTGGGTTGCTCTCCACCGCTAGCTTTTGTCGCAGCAAATGATCTTGCGTCAACCACTCGAGCAGGGCGAGGTTGGTTCTGGTTGGGACGAGCCGGAGGGCCATTGGGTTTGCGAGGCTGGCGGGGGCGTGCCTCTGATGGAGGACGGGTGTTGGGCTTTTGGCCTAATGGAAATCCGGATTAGATAGGAGACACAATGACTTTAAATTAGGGATGCAATGATGTGTTTGCTTCCTCAGGCCTGGTTTCATCGCCTGTACTTACCGGACGGTTGGTTTTGATCTGCAGCAGCCACTGTACGGGAACAGGAGAACGAACGAGCAGGCGCGGAGAGACCAAATCTCGCACGTTCACATTGCAGAGCAATCTGCCTGATCTGTGGCCGAAACATCTTGGCTCATCAATAAGCCAGGTCGTGTCCCTGGAGCGTTGGTATTGGACTCAAAACTGTGACGGGCTTCAACGCGGAAAGATTGAAGAATGTAGTCACGTGAGGCTCCGCTCACCTACCTCCGCTCACCACCAACTTGCTTGATTCAGTGGCATACATTCTGACGGTCAAGATGCTCCGCCGAAAGCCAACCGCCATTGCCATCACATCGGAGGACCTTGCTGCCTTCGAAGAAGAACGACTTCGCAAATTGTCCGAGGAAAACAAGCACCCAGAGCAACACGCCAAAGGATCCTCCACCGCCAACTTTGACCCGAGCGATGAGCTAAAGCCACTCCCTGGTGACAAGGCCAGGATTGTGCGGTCACGCGAAGAAAGGATAGGCATTGGCCGACGTGGTTGATTGTCTATACCGCACCGAGACTGTTACATGAACACAATCTATTCCCATGTCGATACGAAAACATGTCCCGCCCATGATACGATAAAGAAAAGGCACTTGATCACATCGACCTGCGTTTTTGATCATGTGTTCTATCAGATAGAGCCAAGGAGACAGAGTACAATGACCTTTGTCAATACATTGCACTTGCACTATACCTCTCGTGTCCGAACACGTACATGGTAGCAATGACAGGGGATAGTGCCATTCAAGCTTCAAATAGCGAATACGAACCGATCAAACCGACCTTTTCTTCATCAACCTCCCAGAATATCCCCCAGTGTTTGACATGCCCGGCAACACCAACTGTCTTGCCCCGTCCACTGTCCCCTTTTGACTTCATTCCCAAGAAAGCAACTGTGTGATAGACAACAGGATTCATGGACTCCATTATATCAGCTAGTGATGCCTTAATTATCACGCCCAAGCTCACAAATCATGTAGCTGAGCGTGCAATTCCCTTGTCTTTCACCTTTCTAGTAGTCACCGATATCAATCGTAGATGCAACAATCCGTGTCGGCCTTTCAAGAGGGCTGTTCGTCGGGCAAAGGAGACTCGGGCTTGTGTAATCCCTCGGTGTGCTCTATCCCAGGGCATCGTGAGAATTTTATACAACTGTCTCCACCAATTGTCTTTGAATCAACCCCGTCTTCTGTGTAGTTTGTTGTATTCCAATATCAATCCAGATCCTGTTTAGGGAAGGTCATTTATTCTCTTTGTTGTATGTCCTAACTTCGGTGTGACGTGGCTTAACAACCTGGACCTCAGAACTTTTCCAATATAAAACATTGTGCTCCAATGGCACGACACTGAGATCCTCTGGTGCTGATATAAAACGAGATAGAAATCGATTTCACAAGGAAAGGGGAGAATTTAAAGCAACAGAAGCAATGTTCAATCCCAGACAGGGTTTTCTGGTTGAAGCCAGGAGGCCAATAAAGAGGATGGTTGGATCAGTCGCTAAAAGTCCAAGTCCAAGCCAAAGGATTCAGTTATAGGAGCATCATCCCCGTTGTCGCTTAGACATGTTGTCAGAACCGACATCAACTGAATGGTTCCATCGTCGCTTCACGCCCTGTGGATCATATACACTAGCAACACTTTGCTGCCAGTCACGGGCCGAAAACACGACCGGGGGTGCGTGGAACTGCGGCGGGGAAATGGACTGAGATGGGGTGAAAGAAGACACCTTGCTGGGTGTTTCGTACTGCACGGGGTATTGGGGGTTCACGACGTTTGGTACACCCGGTGTCGAATTGTTCATAGGCATCGGCGGAGAATTGGTGCTGACGGTAGAGGGGTTCACGGAGAAAGCCATGTCCCATTGGCTATGGAAAATGGATTAGCACAAGACAAATACGCTTGACTTGAGATCCGCTGTTTGTACATACGTGATGATGCGAGTCGGGTCCCAGGTATTTTCGTCGGCTAATGGGGCATCCATTGGATGGGTTGTGGGGGGTTGATGGGCAACCATTCCGAGGGATTGTAACTGAGAAGATGTGTCGGACTTGGAGTCTTCAGCACCGGTCGAGATTGGAGGAGTTATTGGAAGCGCATGGAAACCCACTCTAGATTGGACTTGATTTAAATGAGGATGGTAGTGCGCATCCATAGGTGGACTGGGCTGATAGGGTTCCGAAGGACTCCCATATGGGAAACTCGGTTTCAGGTCGAAGGGGCGTTGCATGTCAGCGGAAAAGGCCAGTCTCAACGAATCGATCTGCGCTTGAATCTCGGGCATGGGCCATGCGGTTGAGCAGGTCTCTAGGATTCTCATATGTCGAGTAAAATATTCACGGGCATCTGAGTTGAATTCAGGGTCGGGAGAGGTGATGGCAACCTGCCAATTGTCAGAACAATCTGGGGACAGAAACAAGGAAAGTTTCTATATTTACCAGGTGCAGCATTGTGCAAGTCAGAATGCAATATATGGCAAAATTGATACCTCTTTGCATATAAAGCAGGCCGGACAGCCCAAATCTCTGCAAAATGGCTTCTTGAAGCCGGCATAGACTCTTGGCTGAGGAGTAGCACAGTGACATGTGAATCTTCCATTCACCACCGGCTGCGAAGGATTGGGAGGCAATTAGTTGAGGGCGATGTAACAGAATGATCGCGAGGTGGCAATGAGAATGCATATTGCCCACAAAATGGGATGGCAGCCATGGCGCAGAGCCATCAGCAGGATAGTTGACCTGTAAGTCAGAAGGAAGGTTGCGAAGCCAATCTGAGAAAAGGGGATTATTCTGTACAAATCGGGCGTCGGCTCCCCAGTCCTTTTGCTTCTTGATTTTGTGATAGATATCTGTGATGATGCGAATGTGATGTGCGTTGCGAACGAAATAAGCATATTGTCTTGAGCGATCGATCTCGTATTGGTCAAGACCTCTGATATCTAGCGTTGGGCGCATGTCGACTGTTTCAGGGTCGACTCCGTAGTCCGAGCGGCCTAACAAAATCAGAAACTGCTTAGGCTTATTAAGTGAAGGCGACATGAGCTTACCTTGAGGTGCTCCGATCATCACCTCGACTACCATGATAGACTGCCATACCCTGGTCTGCACCAAGCATTCAATTGGGTTGAGACCACAGGGTTCCCCTTCGGCATGGCTGCTGTAGTGCTCGTGGATGTCCATGTCTTTCGCCATCGAGACGATTGTCTTGACAGTTTGCCAAGATCGATAATAATAACCTTTCTTCGGCAAAGATTCCCTGGCCTTTAGTAGGAGAAGTAATGCTTGGATAGTACTCAGACGTGGCACATCCATAAAGCTGGTCTCGTGCCCTAGACGAGGTTAGCTTTGAGTCGAATAGACAATTAATGTTGACTCACTGTTGGCCAATGCCAGCCATTGGGCTCCCTCTGCGGGCTCATCAGATAACCGTCCTGCACAGGCAAACAGAGCCTCGAGAAGAAGTGGGGAAATGGAGCGGCGATCATGTTGCCACTGGTAGTACAGATGGGCACGAGAAACGACAGGAACATAGGGGTGTATCTCATCAAAGTAGATCTTGAAATAAGACATCACGTCGTCTTCTGCAGGCATAAGCTCAGGCGGGATTCGGATCGTCGCGCCTGATCCAGTGCTGAGAGGCGGCAACCGCTCTTCGGCCTCGTCTTGAACAGGGGCATCAGGCTCGACACGATCTGTCCGTTGCCTTCTAATATAGGGGGCTTTGAGGGCAAGAAACAGTTAGCCACTCACTGCGTGGGCACTAAAATAAAAGACAATGTCATACCGATGCCACTCTCGTCGATCTTCAGCTCCCCAAGTACATCGCTAAGGTTCTCTGCGGTTGATTGATCGTTATCAATATAAACATTCCGATCTGGTGTTCCCATTGACGGAGCATGGGCCCCGGCATACATCTGAGGTTGTTGATATGCCATCGGCGGCATGGGCATTTGTGGCGACCGAATGCCGTTATAAAGGCCTTGTTGGGGATGTGGAGCAGGAACATACTGGGAATACATGCTCAATTGATCATATGAAGGCATTGTTCCCATGGTAGGTTGATTATTATCCCTGTAGGTCGGAGGTACTGGGAAGGAATGAGGGCTTTCGGAAGGGACGGAAGGACCACCGCTGTCTAGAGTAGACTCGCTCTGGCCATCTGGCAGGAAGTCTCCATCTTGGCCAATGGTAGGAGGGACGCAAACCAGCTTCAGACGAGTGCATGCAGAACAAGGCCACGTATTTGTCGTGGCTGCATCACATTTGATTTTTCTTTTCCGGCAACCATTGCAGGCTCGCATCACTAAACGCCGAAACCATCAGTACGTTGGACACAAATCTCTACGAGAGCCATGCATACCCTTGAGTCTCTTGTGCCGGTTGTGTTCATCAACGAATACATAATCTACAGAAATGATTAGTGAGCCGAGATGCAAGTGATAACCGGTTCGTCCCCAATGACATACTTTTCTGACCTTCCCTCGGAGGCCCGGCTGGGGGCGCAAATGAGTAGCCCTGCATGACTGTTCGCTTTGGTCGCACCGATCAGATGCCAAGCGAAGTCGCGTGTGGTGTAACGGTACTGGTTATGCTCACTAACGTCGAAACGGTTGGAGAATCAAAAACGTGTGCTGGCGATCTATCACAAGGGCCTGCCTTGGGATGAAGAATAACGATGCGCGGAGGGCGAAATAGTGTCGTAGTAGGTTGCAGTCGATTTACCGAGGCACAGAGACGATTTGAACAAAGGGAAGTCGCAACAGCCGCCCCCGCGAAACACGCAAGTGTTCTGCTATTTGATCGAACCGAGGACCGTGGATAGAGCAGAGAACTGCGCTCAAACCCGGTGAGCAGATCCGATGCGAAATGGATATCGGACGTTGAAGTCGGTGTTGGCGCACAAATAGAGACACAACAGTGTCTCTGGGCTCGAAGTATTGTTAATCACAGGTCAATTACTAGAACCTCAAAGATTAGTACGTTTCCGAGCCTAGATATAAAGCAGTAGATCGCGATCAAAGCTCAAGATTGCGGGCGAGTCCCGCAACAAGGCAAAGGGCAGCAGTCCACATAGAGAGGTAGAAAAAGGCAAGCGCTTACCGAGGAAGAAGGTGTATAGCAAGGATTCCAAAGCAGTCGGGCTCGAGTCAGCGGAGCATGGCGCATCGTTCAATTGACAGAGGAAGGGAGCATTAGGACGGAATGGGCAAGGTCGCAGGTGGAGTCATAAGGGGCGAATAGACTCAAAATGGCATTTAGCCAGGAGAGGAAGAAAGAGAAGATCGGAAGCTGAGGGGAGAGAGAGAATAGGGTGCCAAGGAGGATCCAATAGCGCCCGCGGCTGTGGATTTCCAGGTGGAGGGGGCGATCCAAGGTGGGAGAACAATGGGCGTATATGTAATTACTCCGTATAACTTATAACTTAAGAAGTTATGTCTTGCCTAGGTGTATTTATATACGTGCGTTATTATATTTCATATTCTCACACATATCTTGATTTCTAGCATTTCTAGCACTTATTCCATCCCTACGGTCGATATCCGAGGCTATGAGTTCTCCACTGTGGCCTTTCCTTTAAGCCTAATTTGATATGCAATGGTACGGAAAAGGAACGAAATGTAAGGAAGGAAAAGAAAAAGAAAGCAAATCAGCCTCTTAATTTACCGGAGTGCCATATGCAATTCGTCTGAAACAGCCTTAAAAGCATCACACCGGTATCTGGATCATTCTGTGACCTTGGCTTCGAGATGAAACTGGTGGAACTTGATTGAGGGGAAGAACAATCTCTGAAGGGGCAAAAACCCCGGAGAGACTTCGGACAAAGAATAAGAACTTGGCTTGTCGATCCTCCCGAACCACTGGGATTATATAAGACACAGAAATATAAGTTAACTTAAGTTAATGTATATATATCTATCAATCTATCTATTATGTATTTTATGTATTTCATATTATATAGATGTAGATATTATATAGGTACAGATATACATGAACATATAAATATATGTCTAGACAGTAAGTTAAAGAATATAGAATATAACATATACTAAGACAAAGATAGCATCCGACCACGTGAAGCCCATGACCGTCGGCTTTTTTTGCCCCTCACAGACCTCACCACCTCCACCTACGACTCTCCAAAATGGCGGAAATGCAGAATGAAAACCCCACGATTCTAAATGCTGCTGATCTACCTACGCGGCTGCAGCCCACTGCAACTTCCAAGGGGGAGTATGGTGGTATCTTCACATCCCTGCCCCTCCCAGTAGACTTCTTGGAGAGCGCCCCAACTTCAGACTCCGAGGATGACAACCTACTGGAGGAGCCGATTGATGAACAAGAAATTTATGGTAAGCACGACCTCGATTCGGAACATGAAACCGGAGACCGTTGTCTGCGCAGTGCACTAACCGGTTAGATCTCATCTCGTCAATCTCGGACCCGGAGCACCCCATCTCGCTCGGTGAACTAGCTGTCGTATCTCTTCCAGACATTTCAATCAAGCCAACCCTCCCGGACGTCCCCGGATCGCCTCTACAGACTGTCACTGTGCTCATCACTCCCACGATCACGCACTGTAGTTTGGCAACTGTCATTGGGCTTGGGGTTCGGGTGCGCCTGGAGCAGTCGCTGCCCTCACGCTTCCGAATGGACGTGCGGATCAAGGAGGGTACACACAGCACGGGCGATGAAGTCAACAAGCAGCTGGCAGATAAGGAGCGGGTTGCAGCGGCCTTGGAGAACGGCGCGCTGATGGGGGTAATTGCCAAGATGATGGAGACTTGCCACTAAACCTACGATTTCCCTTTTTGTATCATTAGCCTTGGATCTTCCCTACGGTGCTTAAAACAGGACCCATCATACCCAGCTCGTGACGATAGTTTATGACAAATAACCAGACTCTGAATGACTTGCATTGGACTGCGTATTAGAAATACAAACGTTGCTCTACGTTAAGACACCGGATTAAAAGACTCCCCGTAGCCAAACCCATTTTGTTGTTCAATTGTACGAGATCATGAGTCCAAAACGCCACTTTCCTTCAGACCCTTCCAAAGCTCAGGCTCCAAGAACTTGCTCACAGTAACGTCCTCGGCTAGACCTTTACGCCGTCTTGTCTTCAAGACAAAGTCACGGGCCGTAGCCATGGCAGGGGCCATCTCCAGGGGCTTCAGTTTGATGTCTCGGTCTAGCGGGTCACCGGGAACCACACTCCACTTGTCAAATGCCAGATTAACCATGGCCTGACCCTGGGTGTGGATACGAAGATCGGTCTCAAAGCCAAAGGAATCAATCACTGGGATCAAGCCGCGAACAGAGTAAAGAGGCGTCCCCGCAATGGGGCCATCAGACAGGACATGGCCACGCCGGCGGGATAGAACGGTGTACACAGAAGCCACAGCGTCTGCAGGTCCGGTCATTGTGCAAGAATAGATTGGCTCCATAAGACGCGGGGACGCCATGAGGAAGGACGAGTACACAGCACGACGGGCTGTGGGGATGATCTGGCCACCACCGCGGTAGATGGCCTGGTCAGCAAGGGACACGTCTGTGAGCCTAAACTTTGTATTCCGAATCGCTAAACTCCATGTTAGTGTCACATTCGCCATTCAAACCGAAAAGAGAAACGCATTTACCCCGCGAGCGGGCGGGGGGAGTACAACTCACGTTCTTCGCATAGAGGTCCTTCTCGTGTACCCCAGCTGAAACCCTGGGTGATCGAGTCCCTGACAGTGCCGAGAAGCTTCTTATCGATTTGAGAGGGTAATGTGTCATCCTGGAGGATATTGGGGCCCATCTCATCGGGTCCAAATGCCCAAATGCTTCGGGCTGCAAGCTTGTCCCAATCATAGTTGTCCTCGAAGTACCGAGCAACCTTCCGAATGGGATCCTTGATACTAACTCTGCCGCTTTCGATATCTTCGGCAATACCGTCGTCCAAAGGCTCCGCAATCATGGTGATCTTGTTCTTCTTGTTCGGGGTAATTGAGTAACACATGATGGCAGAAGTTTCCACCACGGTCTCACAAAAGCGTGTAACGGGGTCAGAGACCTTAATCTCCATCTCTGAGTATAATTTCCGAAGGTCATGTAGCACGCAGTCCATGTATAGCTCGCCGGTTCCTAGAACCACATGCTCACCAGACTCCTCGACCTTGGTGGAGATGAGTGGGTAGCTCTTGTTGATTTTGCGCAATCCATCCAACATCTTTGGAAGTTCCGATGGGTTGACAGGCTCAACAGCAACCTTGAAGACCGATTCTGTCATGTGCCGAATGGGACGGAATATGTACGCCTCCTCGTCATCCTCGAGCTTGAGGGGCATCAGCGTCGCTGTCTTGACAATAGAGTTGTCGACACCACCCAAGAGCACCCAGTTTCCGGCGGGAACGCCGTTGGTCGAGATGTTGTAACAGGTTTCCGCAATCCACGTGTCAGAAATGGTTGCAACAACCATATCTTCCTCATCCTCTGGTGTGTAGCCTTCACCCAGGACACGAACCTGCTGACCAGGTCGGGCTGTTCCACTCATAATTCTTCCAAAAGAGTAGAAGCTTGCAGCATCGGTGCTGCTGAAAAGTTTAGTGACATGAACGATGAGAGGGCCATCTGAATTACAGGCTAGCATCGAAGCTCCAACCTTGGTGTCCACAGGCCCAGTGTAGTATCGATCCAATGCCCGCTGGGCGCCTTCCACCGGGGAAGGCACGTGCTGAACGACCATGTCTACAAATCCAGTTGCAGGACCAAAGAATTGTCCGCACACGAGATTGAGCAGCTCCTTGGCATCTGACTTGAGCTGGGATGGCTTCAGGGTGATGCCGACACTAGCCAAAGTCTCTTTCAAATCTTCGGGGCTCTCACTGAGTGTGTGGGAGTAGAGCTTGTAGATTGGCTCCAAGACAAACTTGACAAATGACCGCTTCGAGTTCTCTTCCACTGCCTTGCGGGTGAATTTCCGGCTCTTGGGATTGTAGAAGATATCACCCCAAAGACGGGCAGCGAATTCCAATGAGTCCAAGCTCGGGTAAGTATCGGCATACATCCGAGCAAATGACTGCAAAGTGAAGCACCAGTTCATTGAGCTAGACGCAAACGCAACATTGCCCTTCTCGGGGCTCAATCGTCGTCGCTCGCCCTGACCCGGTAGGACATTCTCAATAACAGTATTGATTTCTTCAATGACGTGCTTCAGCTTGAAATAAGCATCATTGGGGGGCAGCTTGAGCTCAAGGATGAGTCGATCCATCTTGTTCACGACCAGAGTCAAGGGCAGATCTTCCAATACTGCGTGCTTGATAATTTGCTCTGTGTTCGCCTGAACGCCCTCAACGACGTCCACAACCAATACAACACCATCGGCTAGGCGGATTGAAGCAGCCACCTCATCAACAAAGTTCACATGCCCGGGGGTATCAAGGAGGTTGAGCAGGTGAGATTTTCCTTTGGTGCCTTGGAGAACGAGACTCATTGGGGCCGACTTGATTGAAAGACCACGTTCTCTCTCTAAGAAATGGACATCGGTATAGCGAAGCTGTTCCTCCCTCTTCCGTCCAATGCGCTTCTCCAATCGCTCCGTAAGGTCGTGTGTCTGTTTAACAAGCATATCCATGAAAGCTGTCTTTCCATGGTGCAGATGACCAACAATTGCCACATTTCGTATTTGGTCGGGGAAATTCAAGAGATCGGACATATACTCTCGAGAGAAATGTACGGGTGGAAGCTCAGTCTCTGCGATCGCAAATTTCTTCTGCTGAACGGGGGCGATGATAGGCTCCGACAATGGCTGCGCATCTTCCTCCTGGACCATAGTCTCAACATCCTCGCCGTAGACCTGTTGTGCGCTGGGGTAATATTGTTTATCTTCGTGTAGGATGACCGCATTTGAAGGCCCCTCTGGGACGCGACGCGAATTAGCAAAATTGCAGACGTTGAGTAGACGAGCAAACATACCATCAACCTCCATCAATTGTTGGTCATTGAATTCCTCTTCCTCCTCATCATCGAAGGCCTCATCAAACTTGAAAGCCTGGGGCTGCACGTCTTCATGGTGCTCCTCATCGGATTCCGCATCGCCGATGTAGTTACCAAACCTGAAAGGAATTAGAAAATGTGCAAATACACAAAGCTGAGAACATACTCATCATAGAGGTCGTCCATGGTGAATTGAAGGGAGGGTGCGAAACTGGCATTAATCCAAGAAGAGCTCCAAGAGTTGGCGTGATGCCGGAGAAGTTGAGGTTCTCAACTTTCACTTGGTCCGAGCGTCTCGGAGTACTCGCGCCTACACCGTACAGCTCCTCACTCCCCATTCTTATAGATGCCCCTCTCCTGACCGTTTCTTTTCTTCTTCTCTTCTACTCTTTCATACTTTCTTGATACCCATTGTTTCTTGATCTCGAATTTTTTGCTTCAAAATGTCTTCTCTTCCTCCCGTCTACATCGTCTCTACTGCCCGTACACCCGTGGGCTCGTTCCTTGGGTAAGCAACTCCTGAACTTTTCTTTCCGCTGGGCTGAATTGACATTGTCTTGCAGCTCCCTATCGAGCCTGACCGCTCCTCAGCTCGGATCCCACGCCATCAAGGGTAAGGCATACTCTTAATGTGCCCCCCTCATGTTCGAAGCTAACAGTTGTATACAGCCGCCGTCGAGCGTGCTGAGGGCATCAATGCTTCCGATGTCGAGGAGGTCTTCTTCGGCAACGTCTTGTCTGCTGGGTAAGAGTCCTGTCAACTTCATACCATGCAATTAAGACTGATTTCTTCCTAATTAGTGTCGGACAGAACCCCGCCAGACAATGTGCCCTCGGTGCCGGCCTTAACGACAGTACCGTCTGCACCACCGTCAACAAGGTCTGCGCCTCTGGCTTGAAAGCCATCATCCTTGGTGCCCAGACTATCATGACCGGAAATGCCGATGTCATTGTCGCCGGTGGTACCGAGTCCATGTCCAACACCCCCCACTACCTCCAGACCATGCGTAACGGTGCCAAGTACGGCAACCAGACCCTTGTTGATGGTATCCAGAAGGACGGTCTGATGGACGCCAGCTCTCAGGAACTCATGGGTCTTGCAGCCGAGGAGTGTGCTCAGGACCACGACTTCAACCGTTCCCAGCAGGATGAGTATGCCATCCGCAGCTACCAGAAGGCCCAAGCTGCCCAGAAGGCCGGTGCTTTCGACTACGAGATTGCTCCCATTGAGATCCCCGGCTTCCGTGGCAAACCCGGTGTTACCATTTCCCAGGATGACGAACCCAAGAACGTGAGTGTCCACTATGCCAGATTGCTTAAAGAGCTCTAACTTACCATTGGTGTCTCAATATAGCTTAACCCCGACAAGCTCCGCGCCATGAAGCCCGCTTTCATTCCTGGCACCGGGACTGTCACTGCCCCCAACTCGTCGCCTCTCAACGACGGTGCCGCCGCTGTTGTTCTGGTTTCCGAGGCCAAGGTCAAGGAACTCGGCCTCAAGCCCATTGCCAAGATCCTGGGCTGGGGTGACGCTGCTCACAAGCCCAGCAAGTTCACCACTGCTCCTGCTCTTGCCATCCCCAAGGCTCTCAAGCATGCCGGTGTCACCCAGGACTCCATTGATGCCTTTGAGATCAACGAGGCGTTCAGTGTTGTGGCCCTTGCCAACCTGAAGCTCCTTGGCCTCTCCGAGGAGAAGGTCAACATCCATGGTGGTGCTGTCGCCATTGGTCACCCTCTTGGTGCCAGCGGTGCCCGCATTGTCTCCACCTTGCTTGGTGTGCTGAGCGCTAAGAAGGGCAAGCTTGGCTGCGTCGGTATCTGCAACGGTGGTGGCGGTGCCAGCGCCCTTGTCCTGGAGTCCCTGTAATTGGTGAACTCTGTTAACGATAAACGGAGATGTGATATGACCATCTATATTTGCACGGAATATTAAAATTTTGATGGGTTGATCGGATTGAACGACTTCTTGCAGACCTCGGGGTGCAGTGCATGTGGAATTTTGCAGTGAAGAACATCCGTCACATCCCTTTTTTGGCTGTATCTAGACTAGTTAATGAGATATCCTACTGTCTTTGTGTCTATTGTGCTCGTTTTCTTCCTAGCAAAGGCACCTGAAAGCCAACTATTGTCTGGATTGTTTAATCTGTATGAAACACACATGAGCTATAAGTTGATTAAAAAGGCTGGTATTGCCCACCACAAGACATACTGGGGCAATTGTACCGTGGGATGATAACTCGAGGTATCAGGTCGGCGGACAACAGCCCCATCTACGTAGCTAATCCACCAGGGTATTTCAAACACCTCATTCGACGCCCACGTGTACAACTTGCATAGAATCTGGAAGAATTGATTACTAGGCCAAGGGCCTTTATAAGATTTGAATGGTATCGCTCGCTCGCTTCCTTAATCTATCGGACAGTATGACCAGAAAATCCCCAAACATCTACATTGTTAAGCAAAGGCGCCAACAAAGGCCATGAGAAGGGCACCACAAGCAACAGATACACATGCCTCGACACGTCGTCTACCCTTGAGAGTCTCATAACTTGACTCGCTGAGGAAGTCCTCCGCTAGGAGTTCTACCAAGCCCGCAAAGAGCAAAAGACCGCTGCTGATGGCATTGGTAATACCAACCATCAGCAGGCCAGTCGTACTTGCGGGGTCGTAGAGATTATGCAAAACCAAGCCAATGGCTTGGCCAACTGGGGTGGTCGTTCCATAGGCAAGTGACATCAGCCACGGTTTCATGGAATTCGGGGCGAAGAGATCTGGGATGAGCGACGCAATCCGAGATCCGAGAGCAAAGCCTTCGAAGGTCTGATGGAAGCTGATGGCGATCAAAAGCACTACAAACGACGTGCCAGTTGCAACGCTGAGCGCCATGCCAATGAAAATGCTGTGGAACAAAATGCCAGCCTCCAGAAGGAGACACTGAAGAAGTTGGCGTTGCGGGTTCTGAATTAGGACTTCCATGTCAGTTTGCTGTCGATGACTCTCGCTTGTATGTGGCCGATGGCGGAGAGGTTGAGATTGAGCTGCTTGTCTATGGATTGGCTGCTGGTCATCATCCGTGTAGGCATCAAGACCATCAAGGACAGAAAGATCATCCCCTTTGCCTGCGGATGTATCCGCCACATTGAGTTGGTCAGATTCATGCGACGAGCCGGAAGCTCTAGCCGTCCCTGATTTGGGGTTGTAATGCATACTATCTAGGTTAATGTTGTCCGATGCCCGCCGGGCTTCTAACCCCGGGTAGTCTCTGTCTGCATCGCCGAAATCACTCAGAGAGTCGCGGCCAACCTCTCCAATGAGGTTATCGTACTCACTCCCGTGCACATGTTTTGCGCCTTTCATAGCAAAGAACATTTCCACAAGAACAACAGCAAAGACGGAGATCATTGCAACGAAGCCCGCCATAGCGCGATATGACTGACTCCAGAATTTAGGAAGACATGGGTCGGTCAAGGAGACAAAGGCTGTGGGGAGAAGGTGTACAAATGCCGTCGCAATCAAAACACCAGTTCCAAAGTGCCTCGATATAAATAGGAACCGACGGGGGATCGGGAGACGGGGGAATCGGCGAGCAAGAACCGGAAATGAGCATGCTGTTGTAAATTAAACGTTAGCAACGAGTAGCATGATGAAGCGGGATATAACAGCACATACCGAATGTACTCAGAATAAGGATGAGGAACAGTGCCATAACATGTAACGGAGTGTTATAGGCACCCCGCTGCTTGGAGCCACACGCCGGCGTGTCATCTGAAGCTCCATCTCGTCGAAGAAGCTCTGCTTTCAAGATAGAATCTGGTATGTCTGCGAGAGCCGACAGGGCACGTTTCAAGTCTGTTCGGACCGACATCAGTTAGAAACCGACCCGGACTGATTCTTTGCGATAGGAACTCACCGGAAGATATGCCATTTGCAGCCTGCCAGGATTGAGCATTCTGCATTTTGATATTGGATCGAATTTGTGGCTATAACCGCATCCCCGATTCCCTGCAATGCGGAAGAGGAACTAGGATCGTAGGGAGTTGGAAAAGACGCAATTGAGCCCTGCTGAGAAAAAGAGCAAACCGCAGAACACTACCGGGAAAAGGTCAACAACACAAGCAGCATCGTTTCAAACCCAAAGTGGCCAGACTAGTGGAAGCGATCTTCGGACACGCGTTAGAGCGAGTTACTCTGTCCACCGGCAGGCCCCTCTTGCTTAGTCACATTCCTTACACATGTGAAGCTCAACTCCCTTCAGTTTACAGCTTTGATAGAAGAAGCGATTAAGTAGATTCTCAATTATATCCTCAGTAAGAATTGCAATATTACCCCTTCTTTCCAATCCTCTACCTGCTGCCCACTTTGGTCCAGCCTTTGGTGCCTCTAGGCCGTGGGGAGCTTGGGGGGTCTTCGTTGCCTTGGTTTCTCATAGAGTCAGGTCGTGCTTTTGAACTGGCAGTGGACTTTCCGTCACTTGTCTCTGCTCTTATCCCAGGTTGGAATCCAGGAGCAAGGGTGCTGGAGCTGTGTGGAAGGGATGGTTGGTGGGATTCCGTCACTGCATCGTCCCATTCTTTTTCCTCAAGCAACTCCCATTCTGCACTTGCCATCTCCCCAAGAAGATTGGACTTCAGTCTGTCTACAATCTTGGTAGGAGTTGGTAGCTTCCACATTCGCATAAAGTCCACTCCTTCTGATGCTCCCAAGAATGAATGCGCCGTGCCATGAGAGTAATGGCCCAACATGGGAAATGATTTTGTCCTTTGAATCGTTGTCTTGGGCGAGTCTCTGGCCGATTTCATTTGTGCTTGTGTGTCTCGGCCAGCAAAAGCTCGCATCAAGGTTGACGGATGGGCTGGCGGAGCAACCAGCAGTTGCCACAAGTTTTTGCCAATATCGCACACCTCTTCCCATGAGTCGGATGACACATTGATCCCTTGAGTTCGACAAAGCCATGCAACATTCCAAGCCAGGAGAATGGCCCCTTCGAGAAAGAGGGCATATGTTGTAGGATCTTCCTTCGCTAATCGGGGTAGCGGTTTATCGACGAAAAGGGGTCGGGGACGCGGTGTATGGGTGCGTGGATCCATTGTTCTTGATGCTGCGGGGCTTGAAGATGACTGAATATTTGCTCCATCGGAGACATCACGCGAGCGATATGATGATGAAGGGGTGAAGATGGTAGGCACAGGGTAGTTCTTATGAGGCAATGTGATTTCAGCCGGAAGCCTCAACGAGAGATAATGGGAGACAATGATAACAAGGTGAGCGATGTTTGAGAAGGACGTAGATATCTGTTCTGGAGGGACGCCTGTATTCTCCCGTTAGTATGCTATGGGATTAATCTGTCCGGTCGTGACGGTGAACTTGCCATTCATATCCCTTAAGTCGATGACAGAGCCGCCTCCTAACACATATATATCCAGGGCCTGGCCCTTCTTCGCGGTCTTCCTCAACCCATAAAGATTGGCGACTTCCCGACAAAGATAGATCCGGGACTCGGCAGTTCTGCTGTGCAGCGAGTGCCAGACATGTTCCGTCCTTTTACTGGTGTTCTGTATACCCGCAACGATTGCGATTTCACGATCTTCAAGTTGGTACTTTGCAGATTCCGCATCAGAGCGCCTGCGCGCTAGAACTTCTTTGCGTTCAGAGATTTCGGCCTTTTTGGCTCTGACCTCTGACCTCAAAGCTTCGATCTGATGTGCAAGGAGCTCTCTCTTTGCCAAGGACTCGCTATGTCGGCTGCTTATCGTCTGGAGGTCCCAGCGGGGAGAGCCTCTATTCTCTGTATCCAGGGACTCCTGTCGGCCTCCAGGTTGATCATGGGAACCGGCCGACATGACAGCAGTCTCAATTTGCCGTCCGAGAGCTTCTTTCTCCAGAAGGACTTGTGTAGTCTCAATCCGAAGCTGATAAAGCTGGTTGCGGCCACATGTCGGGCAGTAAAGAGGAAGGCGGGAGTGAGGCGCACAGGAGCATATAGAACAGCTCATCGCAGACCGGTTTATTCGGGTTCAACTGTTCGTTAGGGGCGCAAGGCGCATGTCCATATTGTGTTCTAAGACAAGAGTGGGCGCTGTTTGAGTCGCCGCCGAGAACCATATAGCGGAGTGAGAGCGTCATCAAACAGATACAGATTCCACATGACTCAGAGAAGATGACAGATATAACAAAGGTGACCGGCTTCGAGCCCGATTCTAGTTGGCATTCTCCCCTTATGACAGAGGGAAAGGAATAAGTCGGATGATGAGCAGCGACGTCACCTGACAGCGTGACCGCTCCGTTATCGCTTATCGGACAGCAAACAAGTGCAAACTGTTAAAGTTAACTTGTGAAGTTGAACTATTGACTTGACATGCTTCCTATACCTTGAGATTCTGCCCCAGAATGCAATCAACACCCAACAAAACCAGTAAAATCCCTCGACCTTGGAATATGTCTCCACGAGTCAGCCAAGAAAGCAAAATTTCCCAAGAAAATGGGAGCTCCCAAAACACAAGTCCTCAGCTACCAATCGAATCTCTGCCTGTTCCTGTCCAGGATGAGTTCCCCCTTGTTTCACAACTGACGCAGGGCCTTGAGGACTGCGACTGGGAGCAACTGCAAAACAAATATTCCGATTCAATGGAAGAACACAGCCGAGTGGAAGAGAATCTTCGCATTGAAACAGCAAAACTGCTTGAGGTAAAATATTTGACGACCATATGCCTTGCAGAACCATGTCTGACCCATTGGACAGGTTTTTATGGCCTGGTCTCAAACCACTGTGTTGCAAGATGAAAATCGGGCATTGAAAAGGTATGGTTTCTTAATCTGGAAAGATGCCAATGGATGAAATTCTTATGTCTCATAGATTCAAGACCCAGATGCAGCATGTTCAACACTCGGAAGTCAGCATGGAAAACAAAAGAAAGCATTGTAAGCTCCACAGCCCAGTTCTTGCTTGACACCAGGCACTGATTGCTTCTGTTCTTTAGATATGGAGGTGGTGAAGGCTTTCCAAAGTGCTCTTGCGCTACTCAACGAGCAGCTCAAGATTTGAGCACATCATTAATACGACACTTATGATCCTATCTTACGAAGTTATGTTATGCTATCCCTTTTGTTTGAGCAGGGCCATACGGAATTTGACAATGAATCAACCTGCAAAATGCCATGGTGCATTATTTCCCGATCTTTCTGACGGCGTGAGCACTAAAACAAATACAACCCATGATAAAGACAGTTGAGCTTATGCAAATTATTAGGACCAGACCACTGGAAGACACCTTTCATCAGTAATTATCTAAAACACTTGAGTGATTAGTTTTTCCCCTCAATCGCCCCAGGTGATATTCAAACCATCTTGGTTTATGGAAATTTTCGGTAGATTAGCTGTGCGAGAGTTCGCTCCTAGCAGCTCTACCTGTGATATCTTGCCAGCTGGCATTGAAACGTCTGCCAGTATTGGCCAGTAGGCCTTCCTCTTCGGCCTCCTCAGCGTCTTCATCTAGCTGCCTCTCATCCAGTTTAGGGGAGCGGAGCAGGGAAGTGACGAAAACAATGAGATACAAGCCTGTATAATGCGGGTCAGATTCTGTAAACAAGGAAATTTTGGACATGTTGGTTCAAGACTTGATCTTACCTAGGAAAAGAAACTGGGCCCAGAAGAACACGACTCCAAAGAACGGATAGTTTAGAGTGACCCGATTAAGGAAAGTGCTCACGACGCTGGGAGTACAGACTTGCTGTGCGGCAGGGTTCTTCGCTAACTCAGAGCATGGCTTGATGAGTTCTTTGCTGTCTGAGCAATCCGGCTTCCCAAGGAACAACCCAGGAGCACGATCACAAAATGTCTGTGGACCGAATGTGGCGTACTGAGGCGCAACTACCATCGAGATGGAATAATTGAGCGCCAGGATTATCAACATCAACATGGCAGTCGCTAGAAGCAGCGCCTGGGGAGATGTGTGGCCATTGCGAATTTGGAAGATTCTGATCCAAAGAAAGCGAATTCCAACCACAGCAATCCCAACAACGGAACTGCAGAAAAACAGTAACACAAGCACGGTGAATATAGCATAGTCAACGGGGAAGACCTTGGCGGACTGAACAAGCGCCCAGTTGACTGGGTTAAAGATATTGACGCGTGCAAGAATATATCCACAACGATGCTTGCAAATCGAGTTCTTTGCCTTGTCAATTGACGTCAAGAGCATGGATACCCATGTTATGAATGCAACGAAGAGCAGCAGGATGCCCCCTAGGAGCTTGAATGGACGAAGGATCGCGCCGACCTTGTACCATACCTTCATCAACCAGCTCCGCCCTTCGCCTTGGGATTCTTCAGCTAAACGTTGGCGTCGGCTCAGGGTCCTCTCTTCTCGCGTCAATGTATCCAGTTCCCGACGGTCTTTGGAAGACAGAAGCTCGGGGTCTCCGGCGCATCGCCCCTCGAGTTGCCGTTGCCGCTCTCGGTTTGTCTCCAGTTGTTGTATGGTACTCGCTCGCAGGGTAGCACTAGAGATTGATGGCGCCGTCTTGATCAAGCTGATTGGAAGGAGAGCCAACCCGGCCGAAGTATATAAGACATAGAGACAGAGCCCAATCGTCATCAGCAACCCCAGAGCAAAGGTCAAGGCACGCTCGCCATCTTCATAGATCTATGTCAGCTTCACAGTCCCCAATGCCAGGAGGCATGAATACTTACGGTTCTCGGTTAGGAGGCGTCTGAAGTAATCCAGGTCCATATCACTCTTTCCCTGTGATACTGGAACGAAGAATCCAACCAGGAATAGGATCACCACGATAGCAACGAATGATAGGGTATATTTCAGGGCACCCCAAATCCGCTGGCCCACCGTTTGCTCCCCCGTTTCAGTCGCGACCTCATCATATTCCTCGTACCAGAAGTATGTGAAAGGTATAACCAGAAGGCAGAGGAGAGCATCCAGAGAGTAGAGAAGATAGTAGATGATGGTCAAGGAATGGGTAATTCTGTCAACGACGTCTTGCGTTGCCCAATCCTTTCGTTGGCCCAGCTTGGACGATGTGGTCGACGACACTAAAGCGACATCCACTGGCAGCAAGAGTACTGTTGCCAGAAGACTAGTAATTGAAATAATGCAAGTCAGGGTAACCGAGGGCGAGCGATCCCGGGGCGTTTGATAGACATAGATAAACACCGATGCGACTGCTAGTAGGATAACTACTACCACCGCATATGCGATCCAGATGAGTGAGGTCTGCAAGAGCGCCATTTTGAAGAGCAGTTCACAGTTTGCACATGGATCGTGAGGTCGACATCAACCTGAAGGGGACAGGAATGCGAGCCCAAGAAAAAGGATCCTGAAGCTATGCTTGTGTCGTCATTGCTCACACCACGCTAGACTGGATCTGGACATTGGATCGACCGCCTAGTTCTGCCATGCCAATGAGCAGATCTTCGGTTTTAAAAACTTGCCAGATACTTGCCAGGGGTTGACTTTTTGTGGCTTCGACATTTCCTGCTTTCGTTGGTAGTGGCCTGATTTGATGCATATATGGGTGATTGGCTTGAGATAGGTTGGAATATTGGTGTGAACCCTCTCAGAATGTAGTCCTTGCTTTCTCTTCCACTACCATTTATTCCCTTCAACGTAAATAGAAGGACAAGATCTTGTCTGTTAATCCTCTCTATGTTAATGAAGTCCATTATAAGTAGTCAAAGTAAGAACTTGCCTTGAAACGTCCGGATACAAAGAAATGGTTATGTAAGGCGGAGAGAAAGGCGGTATCTTTTGTGCCATTCATGCTTTTGGCTCTGCGCTTCGAAGGAGCTACAAACTTGACTCTCACAAGACAGAGATCGATCTCGATCTCCGATCTCTTCCTTCATTTTGATCGGATCTCATTCTTGCTTCATTTAATCTACTTTGTGCCCCCGGTACTCCATCATCCCGGTTCTAGCCCCCTGATTCGGCAATTGCAATGTGCATCAAGAGTCATATTAAACGCACAATTTAGCTCATTGGAGGTATCCACGCAGTCCCAGGCCTTTCCCCAACTTTAAAGCGACTTCAGTCTTCAAATGCAGTGCTATACAGAGCTTCTTCCCCCGACTGGGGTCACTCATGCTTTGGCAGCGCCTTTCATTTCAGCAACAGCCAACAACTTGGTTGTTGTCAGAACATCTCTTTTGCAGGTGTTTTCGCTTACCAAGCCCTCTCCTCAACCACAGGAAGATGGATCAGACAGTCAAATCTCGCAATTCTCCCGGCCAGAAGCAAAGCTAGTCCTGGAGAAAGAATACCAGCTATCCGGAACAGTGACTGATTTGAGCCGAGTCAAGATCCTGAACACAAAGAGTGGTGGAGATGCCATTCTAATTGCGGTCCGGAACGCCAAACTCAGCTTGATCGAGTGGGACCCAGAGCGCTTTGGAATCTCAACCATCTCCATTCATTACTACGAACGGGATGACCTGACCCGCAGCCCCTGGGTGCCTGACTTGAGCCAGTGTGGGAGCATTTTGAGTGTTGACCCCAGCAGCAGATGCGCGGTGTATAATTTCGGGATCCGCAACCTTGCGATTCTGCCTTTCCATCAGGCGGGTGATGACCTGGTGATGGATGACTACGACCCTGAGCTTGACGGAGAACGCCCAAAACCTGGCTTCGAAGTTGAGAAAAGCAAAGATGGACCAGCACACCAAACCCCTTATGCCTCATCTTTTGTCTTGCCATTGACCGCCTTGGACCCTTCATTGTTGCACCCCATAAGTCTTGCGTTCCTTTATGAATATAGAGAGCCCACGTTTGGCATTTTGTATTCACAAGTCGCAACCTCCACTGCCCTTCTTCACGAGAGAAAAGATGTGGTATTTTACGCAGTCTTCACACTAGACCTCGAACAGCGAGCATCTACAACACTTCTTTCAGTGTCTCGTCTCCCGAGTGACCTGTTCAAGGTTGTACCACTCCCACTCCCGGTAGGAGGCGCCTTGCTTCTTGGCTCCAATGAGATTGTGCATGTGGACCAAGCTGGTAAGACCAATGCGGTGGGGGTCAATGAATTCTCTAGGCAGGTCTCTGCATTCTCAATGACCGACCAATCCGACTTGTCGTTCCGCCTCGAAGGTTGCGTGGTTGAGCGACTTGGTGGTGATAGCGGCGACCTGCTCCTAGCCCTTGCGTCTGGGGACATGGCACTAATCAAATTCAAGCTTGACGGACGATCTGTCTCCGGCCTCACTGTTCATCGCCTTCCTTCGAATGCGGGTGGGGATATCCTGAAGTCGGCAGCCTCATGTTCCACTTGTTTCGGTGATGGGAACGTCTTCCTTGGCAGCGAGGATGCAGATTCAGTGCTTTTGGAATGGTCTCATTCATCAGCCTCAACAAAGAAAGCCCGGCTTGGGTCAAAGCAAACGGCTGATGATGCTGGAGAACTTTCGGATGAGGACCAGATGGAAGATGACATCTATGACGATGACCTTTATTCCTCGGCACCCGGACCGGCACAGATCGATCATCGGACAGGAACCGACAATTCAACACAGTATTACAACTTCCGATTGAATGATCGTCTTTTGAACATTGGACCCCTGAGAGACACAACCCTAGGCAAAGCCATTCCGAAAACGATAAAAAATCAACCGACTAGTGAAGCTGTTTCCGCTGAGCTTGAGTTAGTGGCCGCGCAAGGCTCGGACCGAGGCGGTGGCCTGGTGGTTATTAAGCGTGAAATTGACCCATTGACTACCATCTCTCTTCAAGTTGATGATGTGAATGGTGTTTGGTCGGCCACCGTCGCTCCAGGGAAAGGTGGATTGTCCGGCACTACCGACAACGCATCCCGTCAATACGTGGTCATCTCGCGGTCCACGGATTCGGGCCAGGAAGTGGATGAGGTATTTTCGGTGGAAGAACAAAGCTTGAAGCCTTTCAAGGCACCGGAGTTCAACCCCAACGAAGACTGCACAATTGATATCGGTTCTTTGGCGGATGATACTCGTCTAGTTCAGGTCTTGCGGAACGAGGTCAGGAGCTATGACATGGGTACGGTCAACCCCGAATATACTTGCAAGCGTTGTATAGCTAATGATCAGCCTCCACAGATCTGGGATTGTCACAAATTTACCCTGTTTGGGACGAAGACACTAGCGATGAACGTGTGGCCGTAAGCGCGAGCTTTATTGACCCTTACCTTGTAATTCTTCGGGATGATTCATCTGTGTTGCTTCTGCAAGCGGACAACAATGGAGATCTCGATGAGGTTTCGCTTCCACAGGATATCAGCACGTCGAAATGGCGCTCCGGCTGTCTATATCACGACATGTCTCAATCATTCAGTCCTGCAGATTCAATGCCCGACAGCACCACACAAGACGAGACACTTCTTTTCTTGCTAGGCCTGGATTGCAAGCTATCAGTAAGTCGGTTTGAAGAGATAACTTGGAATTGCTTCTAACTTGGAGCAGATATTCCGACTTTCCGACTTGAAGTTGCTCGCTGTGATCGAAGGCGTCGACTGCTTGCCACCTGTGCTATCGTCTGAGCCTCCTCGACGGTCAAATACTCGGGAAACCCTAACCGAATTCGTTGTCGCAAATCTTGGCGACCGGACCAGCGCCTCGCCTTATCTGATTGTATGCATTCCATCACTGTTCATGGCTAGTTTAGACTTTGACCGAAGCACGTTAGGTTCGCACCGACAACGACGATCTCATCTTTTACAAACCCATGTTAATGCTGTCAAATCCTGATGACGAATCGTCCCGTTGCTTGCAATTCTTCCGGGAGGCCAACCATGTCCTGCCGAAGAATCTTTCCGGAGAGGCTTCACAAACGGATAACCAACGACGCATTAGACCGTTGCGTGTTTTATCCGATATTTCAGGATTCAGCACAGTATTCATGCCCGGCGCCTCTTCCAGCTTTGTTTTCAAGACCGCGAAAAGCTCACCACACATATTGCGTCTTCGGGGAGGATATACACGTTGGCTGAGCAGCTTTGATTCAGCCGATACCGGCTGTGAAAATGGGTTCATTTACGTGGACTCGCAGGTAAGACCCCTTGTTCATTCCGACGGTCAGTCACACCTCTACATTGCTAAGACAGTCTACAGAGCTGCGTCCGGGCTTGTCAATTGCCCCCACAAACGCAATTTGACTATTCGTGGACCTTGCGCAAGATTGCCCTGGAGGAGCAGGTTGATCACCTGGCTTACTCTACGTCTTCTGAAACATACGTATTTGCTTCAAGTCAACGCGCAGACTTCAGGTTGCCGGAGGGTGATGACTTGCACCCCGAATGGCGCAGTGAAGGTTTGTCTTTGCGTATTGCTGATCTTTTTCTATTGGCTGTTTGCTAATGCAGCATTCAGACATATCTTTTTGTCCGGAAATCCCTCAGAGCAGCATAAAGGTCATTAGCCCCAAGACATGGTCTATCGTTGACAGGTACTGACCCGCAATCTCGCGATATGGTGGGAATAGACACTAATAACGGTCACAGTTACTCTCTAGATCCAGATGAGCAGGTGACAGCAGTGAAGAATGTGAATATCGAGATCTCGGAGAATACCCACGAACGCAAGGATCTTATTGTCGTTGGAACCGCTATTGCCAAGGGCGAGGACATACCAGCCCGCGGCTCCATCTATGTATTCGAGGTGGTGAACGTGGTTCCAGACCCCGAAAAGCCCGAGACCGGCCGTAAACTGAAGTTAGTCGGCAAGGAGTCAGTGAAAGGCGCCGTGACAGCTCTATCCGGCATCGGCGGTCAAGGTTTCGTGATCGTTGCCCAGGGACAAAAATGCATGGTCCGAGGTCTTAAAGAAGACGGGAGCCTTCTCCCCGTGGCATTTATGGACATGCAATGTTATGTCAGTGTTGCGAAGGAGCTCAAGGGCACTGGCATGGTCCTTATAGGCGATGCCGTGAAAGGACTCTGGTTTGCAGGCTACTCGGAGGAGCCTTACAAGATGACGCTCTTTGGCAAAGACCCCGAATACCTGGAAGTGGTGGCAGCCGACTTCCTCCCGGATGGAAACAAGCTCTACATGCTGGTTGCAGACAGCGACTGCAACCTCCACGTCTTACAATATGACCCGGAAGATCCCAAGTCATCCAACGGTGATCGACTGCTCAGCCGAAGCAAGTTCTACGCAGGCAACTACGCCACATCAGTGACACTTATGCCACGTACAGCGGTGTCATCCGAGCTCATCGAAGCGTCCGACGAAGACATGGACCTGGATCAGACGTTCCCAACCCACCAGGCCCTGATCGCCTCCTACAATGGATCCCTGGCACTTGTGACATCCGTTGCAGAGGAATCCTACCGCCGGCTCTCAGCGCTGCAGTCCCAGCTCATCAACACGATCGAACACACGGCGGGACTGAACGCTCGTGCTTTCCGGGCTGTCGAGAGTGACGGTGCCGCAGGCCGCGGCATGGTTGACGGGAATCTACTGCGCCTCTGGCTCAACATGAGCAAGCAGCGCCAAGCTGAGATTGCGGGCCGGGTCGGCGCCACGGACTGGGAGATCCGGGCCGATCTGGAGTCCATTGGCGGGGACGGATTCGGATATCTGTGATGCAGAAATATCTTCATGGTTAGAAGTAATCCAAAGGCCTGGCTAGTGAGCACACTATTCAGTTGATACCACGAATAATGCTACAAAGTAGGCTACGCAAACACTTGAGAGAGAAGAAAATCGTCAGCCCAAAACGGGATTTCAATAAATTGATAGCCACGAGAACATGAATAGCCGAAGGTTCTCCTGCGAAGCCCACCAAGTAAAGAGCAGCGTGATATCATAACACAATGGGATATAACCAGACCAGAACCCAAAACCAAACCCAAACCCCAAAGAAAAAGAGAAAAAGACCCCAGCCCAGTAGTGGGTAATCCAAACCCAAACCCAAACCCATTTGCCCGCGCCTCCCCCAAATCCAGCGGGAATGCCACGAAATACACCCAAAACACACATCCCAAAAGTTGATACGTATAACACCCCAACACAAATTTCGCCGTTTTCGCCATATTGCAAGGTTCAGATAAATGATCGCTGATCAGTGATCCAAACAAGACTAGACAGAGCCTTGATCTTTCGAGATCTTGGAATCGTATATGCCCCCATCCGAGTCCACATAAGCGTCAATATCAATAACGCATCCCGGTATGTCAGCATGGGACCAACCATGATTATGTTTTTGTTTGTCGAAGATGGGTGAATAAGAACCAAGGCAAGTCTAAAGAAAAGAAAAAAAAAGGACAGAAACAAACAGGAAGAAAAGAAAAGAAAAACCCAACAGATCCAAATGAAAGTGCAAATGCAGATGCGAGAAAGAAAAAGACAAACGCCACTCCTGTGCCATTACCACAGTATCGAGCGAACGAGCTTAAAAGACATCTTCTGCGGCAAAGTACCGTTTGCTGCGGCCTCGCGAGGCTACGAATTTCATCTCGGGCATGTTGGTATGGTGCACCACGTGTGGCCGGTAGACGGCGTCGACGGGTACTTGCCAGTCATCTAACCCGAGAGGGAAATACTCGTAGAGAAGGTCGGTGCTTTCGTTTGGGAAAGGGAGCGAGGATGCAAATGGCTGGGGGAGATTGGCAGTTTCCAACAGAGGCATTGAAGAAGCGACACTCCTTGATGGGGTTTGAGAGACGGCATGGGAAAGCTTGCGCATCTTAGCAGGCGGAGCGGCATGGTCAAGACTCAAGGATCGCTGGTGGGACAGCTCATTGGCGAAGGGGGATGGCATCTTTGATGGATCAAGATGGAGATTAGGGTCGCCACTTTCTTCCTCGTCCAGTAATGACAGGTTGATTGGTGCAGCGGCGGTTGTGCTCACACGGCGTTGTGAATCCGTCATCTGAGATAATTGCTCAGGGCTAGAGTGGGGGAAGAGGGACTGTTGATGAGACATGACATTGTTGGATGTCGACTGCGGGATAGGCGTCCAATCAGGCGTGGCTTGAGTCTGTTGCATGAGACTGGGCGGCGGAACCGACGTTGTTTCCGGGGAACTGCTCTGAGCGGTGGGCTTCGACTTGGCCGGGGTCACACTGGCACGACGTGGGACAGAGTCGCTCGTAGGGGTTCGGTTGAGAGCGGAGTTTGAAGAGTTGGCCTGGGCATTCTTTCGAGATGCGGCGGCACTACCACTTAGAGGGAGATCCTTGCGAGACTGGAAGTTACGTGGACTGCGGCCACGGACAATGACGGGACCCGACTGGACCTCTGAGATGGGGATCTTTGCACCAGTGGACAAGGTCGCAACCACCTTGAGCCGAACGACGAAATGTTGCTGTAACTCCTTTCGGCGTCCATTGTTGGCAGTCGCGACACGGAACTGTAGCCGCTTCCAGGCAATAGGGAAGGTTGCATAGTCTGAGTCCAGATCCTGGCCGGCCATGATATCCAGAGGGATTGGTGGGGGCTCCTTCTCGATCTTGGCGCCGGTCGTTGGGTTGTTCTCCTCAGGCGCCGTGCCAGCATTGGCGGCAGCCGCAGAGGGCGTCTTCCAGGGCACCGAGATGATCTTCACAGGGTTTCCTTCGACGGATTCGGTAGCAGATACCGTGAGTTCCTGTGCGAGAATTGGAATTCGATCGCCTTGGTCGGTCATGATGTAGCGCATCCCGCGTGGCAACGTCACCGAACCGGTGATTTGGAACAAATTACGGCGGTAACACGTTAACTCGGCACCTTGCTGTGGCGGGGCGTTGTCGGAAGGGGACGTTGTATACGGGGACTCGGCCAGAAAAAACATTCCATGCAACTGAGCCGACACGGATAAATTGGTTCGGCGCATCGAATAGTCCAATAGAGTAAAGTGATATACCGGGATCGAGAAGCTCAAGAGCTTGTTGTTGTGCTCAATCGATGAGGAGTCCTGGGATTGTTCCTGGGGCACCGGGTCAAACGGAGCCACCATCTCGGTGAAAGGGTCATCGTATGGGAAGCGCTTCAATCCATGGGAGATACTAGGAGGGGCGAAAGCGAGATCATCACTATTGTACGCGATCAATTAGCATGGCAACCCCGTTGAGGGGAGTGGATCACCCCCTCTCGTCCCACTTGGGGAACTAAATCACCCACCTGACAAAGGTCTCGGAATCGAAGGTCGACCGGTGGTCCGGTAGATCGAGACTCGGCATTGCATTGAGATAATCTGTCCCCTGTAAATTCCCAAGTGACAACGGGCTGGTCATATATGGCGGCATGGCCATAGTATCGAAGCCCTCCATGGCGAGGACTTATGCGATACGTACACGCAGGATTTTGGGGGGGTTGGGGAGGGTTGTATAGTAGGGAAGGTCGAAAGGAAGAAGGGAATGAGGTAGAGGAAAGAAGGCAAGTGAAAAGAGAGAGAAGCCAAGGATAGATGGAGAAGGCCCCGGGGAATGCTGCAAGCAACGTGTGGAGCGGGAGAGATCTAGGGCGGGAGTGAAGGCGGAGAGGACATTTGAGAACAGAGAAGAATGGAGAGTAGAGGCAGAGGAGAAGGAGAGGAGAGAGAGGAGTGTAGTAGAAAGTCCAGAAGAGAAAGATAGACGGAGCCGGAGGAGGAATCTCGACTTCCAGACGATCAACGGATTCGGGGAATAGTGGAGCCGTGGTTTTTGCGGAGAACGAACGCAGCGCTGAGTCAGCCCAGTACAGTTTCGATCCTGTTTGAGTAGAGTGAGGTTTTATTATTTCGAATCTCGGGGTAAGACCTAGATCGGCTATCGGCTGTTCCAGTGGCCCTGAAGATCAGTAGGCATAGTGTACATAGTGCATGTACTCCGTACGAGTATTCATATAGTTAAGTTAAGAGAATACCCACCTGCCTATTAAGGTACTACTGCTTCGGGTTGACCCTCCTGGAAACGCCACACTCTACACAGATTCCTTTCTTCCTTATCCTGTTTTAACCATCCTGTTTCAACCATATATATGTATTGGAATAAAATGATCAACATGGCCCGTCTGACATGCGTGAGAGAGGGTCCAATCAGGGGGGGTCCAACGGTTAGAAAGCAGCCCCTCTGGACCCTCTGCGAACGGACATGCACAATGATGGGGGAGTGTGGATCACCGGCGATGTCCGCGATACGAATCTGCAGGGCTTTCAGATGTTCCGCCTCTCTTGTGGAAGGAGATACAAGGGCTTAGGGGGGTGCGCGCGAAATGGACACACGTGAAGTTTTGGGACAGGGGACCCTGCATTTACCCGATTTGACCATCCCCGATACTCTGAGAGGGCTGAGAGGGCTGAGACGAGGGCTTCACTTTCCCTCTCTTTCCAGGCCCCGGGGTTTGCCCCTGAAGTAAACTCTCTTCAGAGACCGCAAAGCTCTCTAGCTCTCTAGCTCTCTCGAACCAGACTAGAATCGAAAGTGTCGAGGCCGAAGTTAGGAATGTGGAGCCCAAAGGGTAAAAACGGCCCTGTACGACTGAGGGATTTAACGCAAACGGATCAAAGTTTGACCCCGAGCCCCGGCCTCGCATAGAATAATATATAGATAGATGTAGATGTCAGATGCTAAGATGTTGGAAGGTAGAATAAAGAAGATAGAATGTAGAATAGAAAACAACATATAGAACATATAGATGATCCCCTCTATATATAATGCTAATTGTCAAGGTCACATCCCTAAAGACACAATGCTACCCCCAATGTCAGTGGATAAGCGGAGCCCACTATTTCCGAGTTTAGGCAACGGTCTGAACCGAGGCACAAATGTACTTCCCACGGACGTCCGGTCCAGTTAATTTGGCGTTGAATTTTAATCTATTCAAGGCCCGAGTCCCCCGTGCCAAAGTTTGTTTAGTCTTTCGCTTTGATATATTGCCCCTGGAAGGATTGACTTGAATTTATGTTGCGAGAAATGATTGGACCAAATGACGCCTGTCCTACCCATTCTCGCCCCAATATATGCAGATGATCCCTTCACCGTCGGTCCCGACTCGGGAAGAATATTCAAATAGAAATGAAAAAAAGGAAAGCCAAACCCAATGCGATATGGATATCATAGAGGAAAACAAGATCGAAAAAAAAAAAAAAAAAAGAAAAAAAGAAAAGATCAGACCAGGGTCTACGAGGTATGCATCATCGTCCATGTAGCTGCGTCACAGTTGATTTCCTCGAAACTGTGGAGCATAGTGAATCCCATCATCGAGAGATTGTCAAAGTTGCCATCACCGTCGACCTATATTCTGTTAGATCATGCACCAAATCGGTAGTAGTAAGAACATACACAATCCATGACCACGGTATTGGCACTCAACTTCCGGATCTGCTTAATGGCCAGCAGGATCAACCCTTGCATAACCGTAGAGTAATCCTCCCCACATGGGGAGATAACGGGAGAGGAGATACCTCCCACAGAGGTTTGAGTGGCGCGCAGCACGGGCATATGCTCCGCCAAGGAGGATCGCTCGTTGTAGATCACGATACTCCCGAGGATGACCCCGTCGGAGGGCCGCTTGGCCCGGATGATGCCGCAGTTAGGCGCGCCACCCAGGGCCATCCGGTAAATATCGGCAACGCCCTGTCGGGCGTAGGTTTTGATGTGATCGAGGATGGCGCGCGCAAAGTCCCAGCCATACACGAGGTCGTAGGTGATCTCGGCGCTCTGGAGCGTCGCCGTGAGCCCTTCGGGTGGCATCCATGTGGCTAGATTGCGCAGGATCACGCTGCACACTGGTCGCGAGAGCGCAGTGTTCCAGCCTAGATTGGCGAACCACTGCCGTAACCGCTTGCGCTCGACAGGATTTACGGTCGGGATGCCAAGGTAGATGCCGGGCAATCGCGAACCTAACTGGAACCGTCTCATTCCTTTGCGTTGAAGGAGAGTTCGGATGGCACGGCTGTGGAGGGAATGTCCAATTGATAATTTGCGCCGGGCGGGGTCCACGATGAGGCATCCAAGGACGCCAGTGCCTGTCGACCGAAAGAAGTAGGTAGCGCAGAAGCCATAAAGTGCCTGTGTGCTACTGTTTCGGACGACGAAATGAGCTTCATCGATGTCCTCTTTTCGTAGGAGGAAACTGCTGGAGGTGGCTCCAAGCAATTCTGACCGCTGACCAGGTGCACAGTCGGAACGGATGGATTCCAACAAGACTTCCAAACCAAAGGAGTCACGGTCCTCGTTCCAATTTTCGACAAGCCAATGCTGTCGAGACTGATGAATCTTTTGAGTGCGACCAATGGAGCCAGGCAATGCAGCTGATGGGGTCAGGTCACCGTACAAGACCTTGACCAATGCTTGAAGGGCCGTTTCCGTAAAGTCGTATGTGCAAATATATGTACCAATCGAGGAGTCCATGGCAAAATCGTATGGCGAACTGACTGCCACTACGATCAATGGTTTTGCACGGCGCTCGCCTGACGAGCTATACTGTAATTGACATAACATCGAGACATGTTTAGAGAAGCCTTGCTGATATAAATTGCGATTGGCATCTGCAGTGACGACGACGACAGCACTCGCCCTCTGGATTAGATCCTCGTGGATTGGGCGCACTCCGTTGGAAGTATATGAGGTGTGTAACACCCGACCGTTTCTCTGCCGCGACAGTGACCGTCCAAGCTCTTTAAACACGCCCTCCCCGCTTAGCACCGATGAAGTCCGATCCGAAGACAGAGGATCCAGTGGCCCATGCGCAGACTCTGAGACCGAGAGAGAGACCGCTGATGTTGGGAGTGGCTTGACCAACGGTGTCAGCAGCAAAAGTTCCTCGTCTGCTTCGACAACGTTGGACAACGGTAGCAAATTGTTTTTATCTCTCATCACCGTGATGGAAGAGTTGTAGGCTCGGGTGGAAAGGTTAGTATGCGAGGGTTGCATCTGTGTAAGTGAGGAAAGACCCGGAGGGTTCAGGGCCTGGTCCCACGAGGTGCAACGGGCCTTCAGATCTAAAACTCGACGCAACGACTGTTCAATCCGTGTACGGCCGATGATCCCGTTTTCTACTCCCAACTTCAATCCATTGATGGCTTCTTGTTGAACTGGGAATGATCGACATAGGAGAATCACATCACAGCCAGCGTTCTTTGCCATCACTGTGCCACCTCCTACCCCAATGTTATGCGTGAGAGCCTCCATCTCTAAGCATTCTGAGACGACCACCCCTTGGAATTGGAGGTCCTTTCTGAGGAGCTCGTCAACCACCTGATCGCTTAGACAGGCGTGCATCACGTTCATACCTGCAGAAGACAGGGAGACTCCGCCTACCATCATGGCATCGAGACCCTGCGTGATAGCACTGCGAAAAGGCACAAGAGCGCTGAGGCTGAGCTGCTCCAATGATTCCGTGATAATTGGGACATCCGTTTGAGAACCGAGAAATTCCAAGTTACCATAAGATGGAAAATGCTTGCCGCACGTCACCAAGCCAGCTTCTTGATATCCCCTCATGAACTGGACACCAAACTGAGATGCCTCTTGGGGGTCATCGCCGGAGGTCCGGACGCCTAATGGCTGATTCCGCACATTGGTCAAGACGTCTAACACTGGCCCTAAGATCCAGTTGACTCCGACAGCCTTGAGCTCCTGTGCCGTTGCAACAGCAACCTCGTGCGCCAGAGTTTTAGACCCCGTCGCGGCAATGCCCATAGCACTGGGAAACTGTCTGATATAGATTTCATCGTATAAGCTGTTTACGCCGCCATTCTCTTGGTCTAGCGCAATCAGCAAAGGCACCGGATGGCCAGCATCACGTGCAATGGTCTGTAATTCCAGAACCAATCTGGTCGCCTCCTCGGCCGCTGCAGTCGCGTCAGTAGTGCTTAATTGAGGACCGGACATCAATAAGTACATTTTAAGTTTTTAGCCGAAAGCAGCACCGCGCCCAGATGATAGTTTTCAATGAGCGATCGAATCTGAGGGTTGACCGATGTCCCATCAAAGCCCATCATAAAGAGCTGGCCCATCTGCCTGTGACATGTCAGTATGCAATTACCGAAAGAGGAAGTAATCCAAATAATCGGAAAAGGTTCCACAGGGGAAGATGCACCGAGATCGCGATGGGGAGTACGGGGCAGGATAACATGAGGCCGAAACAGGAGATCGACATACCTATCTAGATCCTCCCAGCCCGGGGGCAGCATGTCCTCTTTCCGGGCCATGGCCCTGGGAAGTGGAATGCCTGTCAAGGCCAGAGTACAGTTTGGGGGGGAAGAGTGGACACCGCAAACGTCAGGCTGACTCTCGAGAGAATATGCCCAGGTGAAGCCAGGTCAGTGTCAGGCTCGGGCGTGTGCGCGTTGGAGTCAGGTGACTGAGTTCCCCCAGAGCCGCAAAAGTCGGGGAAGATAGGGAAGGTCACGGGGTCTTGGCAGCTACATCTATTTTGTTATGTAAGTTACCTAGGTAGGTACCTAGGTGTCTACCTCGGAACAATTCTATGTTCTCCATATCTCGATTTCCCCATTTCCTCGTTTCAACTGAAACGTGCACAATCTAGAAACGTCACGTGCCATCACGTGCATACCAATACGGTACGGAACCCACTGCGACGTTGTAGGGTTGCAATCTTCTCCAGCTTTTGCCGAGTTCACCGGATGCAACCCGTGGACTTCTTCAGATGAAACCTCCCATATAATAATACCCTTTAATTATACGTCATATCATGCCTACCATTCCTATTGTTGGCCACATGGAACATGTGTCCATGTGCCTTGATAAACACCGGCGAATAAGGTACATGGGTACTATCCCGTGGCATATTTCATGTCAAGATGCGGTAGCCCGCAGACGTCAATTGAACTGTTCCGGCTATCTTTTCGGGAGGGTCCCCTCTCTGTCCAATCATGGACTTGGGGGCGACAGACGATGATACACTTGCGGCCATCAAGACCCGTAGTAGTAGACGGACTATACGACGTAGGAGATCCTTTTTGTCACTGTAGTACACTCTCCACGCAACCTACGGTCACTTCCACTTCCACTTTACTCTTTTCCTTTACTCTTTTATCTAGATATCATCAACTTCTTTTCCTCTTTTCTTTCTTCACTCGGAAAAGCTTATCGTCCTCACACCCACCCGTGACGTCAATATGTATGTGATGTCTTGATTTTACTGGACTCTGCTAATCTGTTGCAGGCGTGTCATTATCAGAGAAGACCCAAAGGAGGTATCTGTGTATATCGCAGACTACATCATCAGTATGTCCAAGTTCAGCTCTCGCGCAACTCAGAGACACTGACTCTTCAATTTAGGCCGCATCCAGTCGTTCAAGCCTACCGCTGGGCAGCCCTTTGTGCTTGGTCTTCCCACGGGCAGCAGCCCTGAATTCATCTACAAGATCCTCGTGCAGCGTCATCGCGCCGGGGAGATCTCGTTCAAGAATGTCGTAACTTTCAACATGGTATGATGTGTGCAAGAACCACGACGCAACAACCGACTAACCCATCACAGGACGAATACGTCGGTCTGCCTCGGGACCACCCAGAGTCCTACCACAGCTTCATGTACAAGCACTTCTTCTCGCACGTGGACATCCCACCGCAGAACATCAACATCCTCGACGGCAACGCCTCAGACCTGACCGCCGAGTGCGCATCATTCGAAGCGCGCATCGCCCGCTACGGCGGCATCGAGCTATTCCTGGGCGGCGTCGGACCAGACGGCCACATCGCCTTCAACGAGCCCGGCTCCTCATTGAGCAGCCGTACCCGGGTGAAGACCCTGGCCTACGACACCATCCTAGCCAACTCGCGCTTCTTCGACAACGACACGAGCAAAGTGCCCCGCATGGCCATGACCGTGGGAATCCAGACCATTATGGACTCGCGCGAGGTCGTGATTGTCGCAACAGGCGCACACAAGTCCTTCGCCCTTCAAAAGGGTCTGGAAGACGGCGTGAACCACATGTGGACTCTGTCCGCACTGCAGCTGCACCAGCACCCACTTGTCGTGTGTGACCGCGACGCCACTCTCGAACTCAAGGTCAAGACTGTACGGTACTTCGAATCGATCGAGCAGGCCGGCACCGATGCCCGCACCCAAGGCCCGGCTCTCGTCTATCGCCCCCGGACCTATGTTCCGGCCCCACTGCCAACCAAGAAGCACGCCTCGCAGGGGCCTACCCCCGATCGGACCCCCGAGAAGGTGCCCAAGGACCTGCGCATCAACACCGAGTTGCACCGCGCAATGGAGGACGACGAGCTCACTCCTGACAGCATGTCCTCGCGCCTGGTCGACTCAGCCATTGGCATCGATGGTACTCTCAAGAGCGACCTCATGTTCGACCGCATGGGCACCAGAATGACTGCCCTCTAGGTGAACCTTGATCCTGAACAATCTTATGGCATTTTCTTCCGGGGTTTCTTTTCGGCTTTGTCTTTTTTACGGGAACGGAATATGGCATTTTTTTTATATATTTGTTGCAAATCATATCTACATGGTCTTTTCTCACTCGGTTTCGGGATAAGGAGTTTTGCGTTGCCTTTTGCTTGTTCCATGGTCAATAGATGCGTGGTTGAAACTCTTTCCATGTGTATTCTCTAGGTGCCAAGTGACTTTATCAAGATTTTAGCTATGAACAATCCAAGCAGTGTATAATTTATCAAACTATTGTGTTCGTAGCGTTGTATGTGTAGTGTTATGTCGTGTCAATCTTTAATGGGTATGTAACCTACGGGCCGCTGCATATGCAGGTGGTAACTAGCTACTACAACTTTCTTGTATATAGAATAAGAATGGTGGGTCTGTTATCTAAATGCTCGATGTGTTCGCAATCTGTCGGTCACTATATAGCTAATTTTGGTCGTACATACATTGCATGAGATATTTACATTACAGCTTGGCAAAGACAGTGGCTACAGCACCGCTCATATCAACGAGGGTGCTCTTGTTCTGCAGCCAAGCCTCAATACCACGACGACCATTCTCCACGCCCAGACCGCTCTTCTTCCAGCCACCAACAGCCATCTCGGCAGGGCTCTCACCCCAGGTGTTGACCCAAGTGATACCAGCCTGGAGCTGGTCAATAACACGGTGGGCCTGGTTCAGGTCCTTGGTGAAGACACCAGCGGCGAGACCAAGCTCCGTAGCGTTGGCGCGCTGCACAGCCTCCTCAACGGTGTCGTAGTACAGGATGGACATGACGGGACCGAAGATCTCCTCCTTGACAATGCGCATGGAGTCAGTGCAGTCGGTGAAAATGGTAGGCTGGACCCAGAAACCGGCCTGCAGGTCCTTGGGCACAGAGGGCTTCTCGACACCACCGCAGAGGAGGGTGGCCTTGTCGGACTCGATTCCGTGGCGGATGTAGGAGACAACCTTCTCGTAGTGGGCGGAAGAGCTGAGGGGGCCGAAGTTGGTCCGCTCGTCGAAGAGCGGGCCAGCCCGCACATACTGGATCTTCTCGAGGAGGGACTTTTCGAAAGCGGCCTTCATGGCGCGGTGGACGAAGACGCGTGTACCGTTGGTACAGACCTGGCCGGTGCTGTAGAAGTTGGCCATCATGGCACCGTCAACGGCGTTCTCAAGCTCGGCGTCTGGGCAGACGATCAGGGGGCTCTTGCCGCCCAGCTCCATAGTCACATATTTCATGTTGCCGGAGGCGTTACCGGCAACCTTCTGTCCAGTTGCCACCTGGCCGGTGAAGGAGACCTTAGCGATGAGAGGGTGGCCCGTCAGGTAGGAGCCAACGTCACCAGCGCCGTTGACCACGTTGAAGACACCATCGGGGAGGCCAGCCTCGGTGTAGATCTGTGCAAGGGTTTGGCCGTGGAGAGGGGTGAATTCACTGGGTTTATAGATCATCGTGTTACCGGCGGCCAAACAGGCAGCGGACTTCCAAAGAGCACTATACACAGGTCAATTTGGTCAAGGTAAGGAGCAAAGCAATGGGAAACTTACATCTGAATGGGGTAGTTCCAAGCACCGATGCCGGCACACACACCAAGAGGAGCCTTCTTGGTATACACCCACGCGTCCTCACGGAGGTGAGTAGTCTCACCATTGAGACCACCACCGCCAATGAAGTTGGCGTAGTACTCCAAAACATCGGCACCTGTTACGACATCGACAGTGCTTGTCTCGGTGAAGGCCTTGCCCGAGTCCAGAGTCTCCAGGCGGGCGATTTCATCGTTGCGCTCGCGCAGGAGAGCAGCGGCTTTGTGAAGGATACGGGCACGGGCAATTAGGGGAGTCTGGGCCCACGAGGGGAATGCGCGGTCTGCAGCAGCAATGGCAGCATCGACATCGGCGTTGGAGGCGACCTGGATATCGGCCAACGGAGTTGCGGTGGCGGGGTTAATGGTCTGAAAGGTCTTGCCGGAGGTAGCGGCCTGGATCTTGCCGCCGTAGTAAAGCTGACGAGGAGGGAGTTCGAGAGACATGACTGCGTTGTGAGGGAATAGTGTCAGTGAACATATGAGACTAAGGTCTTAGCAGATTTACTTCACACCGCCTTGGAACAACCTCGGGCGACTTTAGCGCAGGCCTTAAAGTTGCAAGCAAATCTCGTACGTAACAAGCCGCGCCCGATGGCGGGGTCCAATCTGCACTTTCGCTTACTCTGAATGGCTCATAAGTCCTCAGCCGGGACTTCCGCCCTAAGAATGGAATTCTTAGCCTTACGCCTGTGACGTACTGCTGCGGCTACGATACACAAAATCATAGCCTAGCGCCGGAAGAGTAATCCTTTCCTGGGTAACATCTCCTATCAAGTTAATATTCTTACACCAAAATACTCCAAGATACACATCCAAGATACACATCCCAGATATACCTTCAAGACACACCTCCGAGATACACATGCATATGCATCGTACGATAAGCGATGAAACAGTTCGGCCGTTGATAGTTAAGAGGCGGTGGGCTCATTATCTAAAACCTTCTCCACTTGAGTGATCGCCACCAGTCAGAGTCTTCTAATTCGCCGAGTCTAACTGAAAAAAAAAAAAAGAAATACGAGAAAAAAAAGGGAGAAAAAGGTTAAAAGACGAATTTGGTTAACCGATAGAGACGTGTTGGATTCCTCAGACCACTTCAATTTCTCCATTAAAAAAGAACGGTCTCCTCTTTTCGTATCTCCCTCATACATACATCTCCAACATGGCTACCACTAATGAGCTCCCCGCCCTCGATGTCAACAGCTACGACTACATCGTCGTTGGCGGTGGTACTGCTGGCTGCGTGATCGCCGCACGTCTGGCTGAGTACCTCCCCAACAAGCGCACTCTGGTCATTGAGGGTGGTCCCAGTGATTTCATGGACGACCGTGTCCTGAACCTGAAGGAATGGCTCAACCTCCTCGGTGGCGAGCTCGACTACGACTATGGCACCACCGAGCAGCCCATGGGTATGTCGCCCGTTTCCTAGACCTCACGAGTCTTTGCTGACCACCCCGCAGGTAACAGCCATATCCGTCACTCCCGCGCGAAGGTCCTCGGTGGTTGCTCCTCCCACAACACTCTGATCTCCTTCCGTCCCTTCGAGTATGATTGCCGTAACTGGGTGTCCAAGGGCTGCAAGGGCTGGGACTTTGAGACCTTCACCCGCATCATTGACAACCTGCGCAACACCTTCCAACCGGTGCACGCCCGCCACCGCAACCAGCTGTGCAAGGACTGGGTCCAGGCCTGCGCCAGCACCATGAACATTCCCATCATTGAGAACTTCAACGACGACATCCGCAACAAGGGTGAGCTGACCGAGGGTGTTGGCTTCTTCAATGTCTCCTACAATCCTGATGATGGGCGCCGCAGCAGCGCCAGTGTCGCCTATATTCACCCCATTCTGCGCGGTGATGAGAAGCGTCCTAACCTGACCATCCTCACCAACGCCTGGGTTTCCAAGGTGAACGTGGAGGGCGATACCGTCACCGGTGTCGACGTGACTCTGCAGTCCGGTGTCAAGCACACCCTGCGCGCTAAGAAGGAGACCGTTCTGTGTGCCGGTGCTGTCGACACCCCTCGTCTGATGCTGCTCTCTGGTCTCGGCCCTAAGGAGCAGCTCTCCGAGCTGGGCATCCCCGTTGTCAAGGATCTCCCCGGCGTCGGTGAGAACCTAATTGACCACCCCGAGAGTATCATCATGTGGGAGCTCAACCGCCCCGTGGACCACGACCAGACCACCATGGACTCGGACGCTGGTATCTTCTTGCGCCGCGAGCTCCCCAACGCCGCTGGCTTCGACGGCCGCGCCGCCGATGTGATGATGCACTGCTACCAGATCCCCTTCACCCTCAACACAACTCGTCTCGGCTACGATGAGCCCGTGAATGCCTTCTGCATGACCCCCAACATTCCCCGTCCCCGTTCCCGCGGTCGTCTCTTCTTGACCTCGGCCGACCCCTCCGTGAAGCCCGCGCTGGATTTCCGCTACTTCACCGACCCCGAGGGCTACGACGCCGCCACCATCGTCGCCGGTCTCAAGGCCTCCCGTGAGATCGCCAAGCAGTCTCCCTTCAAGGAGTGGATCAAGCGCGAGGTCGCGCCTGGTCCTAAGCTGCAGACCGATGAGGAGCTGTCCGAGTACGGCCGCCGTGTCGCCCACACCGTGTACCACCCCGCTGGTACCACTAAGATGGGTGACATTGCCCGGGACCCTATGGCCGTTGTGGACCCCAAGCTCAAGATCCGCGGCCTCAAGGGTGTCCGTATCGCGGATGCCGGTGTCTTCCCCGATATGCCTACCGTCAACCCCATGTTGACCGTGCTGACCATTGGTGAGCGTGCCGCCGAGCTAATCGCCGAGGAGGCCGGCTGGGCTCGCAACCAGCCCCGCCTGTAAATGCACATGATGTGACATGCCTGTAAAAATATCTTATGTTTGAATTTTGGTTTCATTTTTGCATACAAGCGAGCGGCGCATCCACCATGGATCTGCTGCAACCAGTGCCTGCGAGACGGGCCTGGCATTTTTGATTCCTGGATATTTACCATAACAATCTACGTAAATGATTTGGTTCCTCATAATTTCTCTTTGGATAATGAATAATGTAAGACTAACATGAGAGGTATTTCAAGATCGTAAATCTACGATCATGCACTTGGGTTCTATGCTCATGCAAATAAAACGACCTCAACGCCTATAACCGGTAAACTGAGAGCTATATGTCAAAAACGATAGAAGCAGAAAGCAGAAAACGTCAACATCTCAAACCGCCTTGTCAGTATCATGGATCTTAGTACCGAGCTTCCACACCTGATCAACAGTCAAGGTAGGACCAGAGAACGGATCATCAGTCTCACCCAGCACAACCAGATCGGCATCAGCACCACTATCCAGCGATCCCTTCACACCCTGCAAGCCAAGCAGACGCGCAG